TGACAAATTTGACGAATCACTTACAACTTATCTTCTACATATCTATAAGTAGAGGAAAAAGTGATATAATTCTTAATATTATGATCCTCTTTAATATTTCCGCTATTAGAAGTGAGGAATTCTAGCGATTATTTATGGAATCATTTGTTTAGTAGCCCGCCGTTCACGATGATATTAATATTCCAATACACAATAACCGATATTTGTGGAACACATTTTTACTTTCGAACATTTCGAAACCTTTTTGAAGGTACATTTTAGCATTTAATTACATATACTTCCTCATTCTTCTTAAACTTGGGCATATTTTCACACAAATATATGTATACTTGAGTGTTTTGTTTGTTATTTAACATTTTATTCCTATATATATTTCGAAATTACGCAAAGTTAAACAATAACATGGCATTTTGCTAATTCGGCGCTCTACTGAAATAAATTTAATATGGCCTCTTTTCGAGGCTTTTATATCGAAATAATTATTTGACAAGTCGATAATTTAAATTAAGTTTAAAAGTCTATTTGTTATAGAAATTGTTCTTTTGACAGTTTGCATCTACTTCTTGACAAGCCAGTTAATATCTACGTTAAACATTCACGTTTATATTCATCGTTGCTCCTTCTAAGAGAGTTTATTTTAAATAAATATGTAAATGAATATACAAAACACCGCGTTTCTTAAAAAGAATCATTTTTTAAAATATATTTTGGGGGAGGGAGAGGGCATATTACGTATACCGACGTATCCTTGTTCCTCCTAGAACTATTATGCAATGTCACCACATTTTTATAAATAACGTCTTAAGTAATAATTATTTCATAACTTTGAGTCTAGAATCGATTGAACAATACTTTGACGAATGTAATTCTTAAGTTTTCAATTTGAAATATTGATGATTAACAAAGTTATTGTATAAAATGTAAATGGAGGGCCATAACCACTTTCTCCCCTAAAGACCTGCGCAATACACATGCACTAAATAATATCAGCAAAGCGATACAAAGTTATTATTTCAAAATATGGCTGTAATATTTAGCAGAAATGAAAATTATTAAAATAATATAGAAACGTTCCTATTTCGCCCCATTCAGTTGATTCCTTCCCCCAAATGATAGATATGAAATTACGCATGTTTTATAGAATAACGGAATTGAATTAACATAAAAGATTACTATGAAATATAACATATTACGTGTGATTTTTACTTACCTCTTTTAATATTGTATCACAAGTTACATCCTTCACGGTATCAAACATTTCATAAAATTACATCAGATTTATTGGTTTTTGTTCGAAATTGCTATAATGAAACATTGTATAGCTTCTGCTATTGTTCGTCATGAACAAACGCGTTGACTCATCTCTCTTTCTCTTTTTTATACGTGCAAGTCGAAATCTGTAGTTACGTAGTTATTTCTATAGAAACATTTTTTCGTCTTACCTCGCGACCTTGTCTTCCCCCGAGTTCCTCTACATACGTGTACGTATGGTCAGACACAAAAAAGTTACATCACTTTTTCTTTTCGACGAGTTTCGTAACGCATCTCGTATCCAGCAGGAAAATGTATTTCCTGAGAATTAGTAAAAAAACAAATTCTCTTATTGACACGGGATATGCGTTTCGAAATTTATAAAAAAACAACCTTCTCGTGTGACTGACTACATATATACGTTTAGATACGTTCGATTTTTCTTTTTTAATTCAAACATTGTCGACGAACATAAATAACGAACCGTAAATAAACTGTAAATAAAATTCGATTCAACATTTTCCACAAAAAGAAAAAAAGAAACAGAGACAGATGTCTTATACTTGTTACTTTACAATTAAATCTATTTCTTTTGTGGCTTTAACCCCTTAACTTGTACGCTCGAGTTAATTCGGNTAAGTTAACCCCTTAACTTGTACGCTCGAGTTAATTCGAGCGCGCTAAACAGGCCAAACTGTGCACACTCGAGATAATTCGAGCAGCGTTGTATTTTATGCTGCTATAATTTTTCACACTCGAATATAATCGAGAATTGAAAATAACAATGTGAAAGCAAAGAAAAACATTTTTTTTACATTAAAAAGATTGATTTCTCTTGGCCGGTTTTTTTCAAAAAAACTGTGCGTTAAGGGGTTAATAAATTCGTCTCTGAAGAGATTAAACGAATGATTGAAGAAACATGTTGAATAAAAAAATAAAGAAATTATCAGAATTGAATTGATATTAACTGTTGGGACCATCACTACTCGTAACTATCATAGACTAATTGTTATAGAATTTACCTGTTATAGAATTTAATTGTTAGGAACGATTAGAATAGATGCTGCTGAATACAATAGTGCGACGAGACAATAATGAAAATTATTCACCCGAGATCAGGACAGATCGGGATAGAGACGTGGGGGAAAAAACGTGTAGTGATTTCACCTCCCTCGTCGCGAAAGCTCTAATCGGAGGGAGGGGAGATTAACGGGACGGTGAAAACCACGTTGCTTGTACACGTGGCCTCCCCCGAATTAATCCGCGAGTTTCCGGCAGTCTTCTCTTTTCGATTGATCGCGGACAAGGTCCACGCTCATTGCACGGCCGAACATCTGTTCATTTAAAGCGATGAAAGATTCACATCATTGCCGCGTACCGCTGAGGTTTCCGACGACCGTTTCTCTCGTCGTTCCCCAAGGAGGATGTGAGGGAGAGACGAAGGTGAGCGCGCGAACGAAGCACGACGAAACGAAGTACGAGAAAGAAACGAGTACGCTTCCCGGCCTCGATTTTCCGGACGGACAATGACTCGGCGGGATTTTGTCCGAGGATATCCTCGAATTTCAAGCCTGTCTTCCGCGTAGCCGCCGGCCATTCCGCGTCGTGTATCGAAGGACTCGGCATCAAGGTGGCCAGGGCGATCCAGAAATGGAATATAATCAGGTCGACGAGGAAGGAACAGAGAGAGAGAGAGAGAGAGAGAGAGGGAGAGAAATGGATAGACAGATGGATAGAGCAAGAGCGAGAGGAGGACAGAGGTATGGGATGGAAAAGGAGCGAGAAAGGGTGAGAGGGAACAAGAGGATGGATAGAGATCGAGAGAGAGAGAGAGAGAGGGGGGAGCCGCTTCGCCGGGTGGATTCGAGGGATGACAGCCCCGGGCTGGTGAAAGCCTGGGGCGACGCGGATATTGAGTTCATGGTAGCCATGGAAACGGGGCCCGAGGGCACGACGTTTGTGCGCTTTATCCCTTATTCCTGCGGTTACGTGATCAACGCGGTCCCAATGAGCTCTCTTACTTCGTCTCTCTCACTCGCGCTCGCGCGTTTCGTCCTTGCGCACGTGTGCACGTGTGTGTGTGCGTGTAGTCGGCGGCGGCGGATCGGTTGAGGCGCTTTCCGCTCGACCCTCCCTCCCCCGGGGATTAATCTGCGTGTTGATTTGTTGTTTTTCTTTTTTCTTTTATATTTCTCATTTGTTTATTTCATTCGGAGAATCGAGGGATGGACCGGAGATAACGCGGCGGATTTTTCCCGATTAACATACGCGCGCACACGTCGCTCGAGTATAATGATTTTAGCGCGGCGCGGCTGCGGCGAGATTTTTTCGCTCGAGGCGCGACGCCGCGTCCATAGCAATTGAAAAATTGATTGCAGGCGACAATAATTTCGCCGCCCGTACTTTCCGGCGCCCGCGCGCGGCAGTGCTATTGTCCGTTTTCTGGGGAGGAACCTGGACCACGCGCGCCGCCGCGATTTCTCTCCCGCCGGAAGTGGCAGTGGGTCTGACGATCGAACCGTTTGTAAAATAACATTGCGATTTACTCCCGCGGTAAATTTTCGCGAAACACGCAGATCGACGCTCCCAATTTCAACGTGACCTGCCGCACACGCGCGCACATTTTCCCGAGAAATGTAAAACAAACGTTTTATTAAATCAGCCGAAATGACGCTTGTATAAGAAGATATTCTTAGTGATTCTAGACTCGCTTCTTAATTCTTAATGGCCGTTTCGAGAGTATGTAATGTAATTTGATTTCGCCTGCTTATCTCGGGAGGACTCGATAAGATCGACACGTGACTTCTCACTACGTTCGTCTTCGTGTTGGATTACGTCGGATTAATCAAGAGGTCGGCGAACATTTTTCGCTGATCTCCGTTTTATACGATCACACGTTGTTTCGCTGTCGGTTTCTTCTTATATTATAGCGTGTTGTGATCTCCAAATGGAATATGTACAGAGTGTCTAAAAATTCCCGCATGTGGAGTGCACAGAGATTCTTTGATACCGAAGGAAGTAACTTCTTCTGTTACCAAAATTGCGCTCGAACGATAGTATCCGAGAAATAGGGTTTTTCGCGAGCTAAACTTCGGACGAACAAATGGATAGCAGAGTTATCTTCTTCCGTCAATTTTAACTTTTTTATACTTAATTTCAACAGAATTTTAATCTAAGGTTTAGCTTCAAAGATATGTTATGTTGAAAATTAAAAAGTCACTATAAATAGTGACATTTCTCGATATGTTTGCTAAGGAAAAAGTTATTTTTTCTGGTATGAGGAATCTCCTTATACACTCCGCATGTGGGAATTTGGGGACACTCTGTGTATGTGTGTGTGTGTGTGTGTGTACAGGTTGTTTTATTTTAAGTGATACAGTCGATTATTTTGAAAATAAAGCATTTACGGGAAAAATGTTTCAGATGAAAGTTGTAAGATTTTAAGTGGTGTATTACATAACAATGTTAGTGTGACTTGCGCGCTACGCTGCAAGTATCGTAACTTACAACCTTCTTAACTCAGAAGGTACTTGATAAAAAATAATTTTATTATAATATTTTGAAAAGCTCCCGAGGTCAGCTATAAGAATATGCAATAAAAAATAGAGACTTTCATTAAGAAATGTTAAAGTAATTGTTAATACGAACTTAACAATTTTGTCCAAAGTCATATCAACATTGCTACGTAATATTCCAATTAAAACCTTACAACGGTTACAAGGTACATTTTTCCCGAAAATGCTTTATTTTCAAGACGATCAACCGTATCACTTAAAATTAAACACCCTATTCACGTGTGTATGCGTGTATATCCATATATTTATTTATATATATGCGTGTTTGTGTGTATGTATATACACATTTATTCGCGATATTTACAGTAATTAGTATAGCATTTAAATACATATAGGTACACTTTATTAAATAATATAACAATGTTTTAAAGATCGACGCACTCGATATTCTCAAACGCAAGTCGCTCGTAATGCGAGGAATGGACAACGATGTGTAGGCGTGTGTGTGTATGCATGTATGTGCGTATGCATGCGCGCGCGTGTGTGCGTGCATAAGTGTGTACGTGTGGAATTGGGCATTCCATTCCGGACAGCGTTAAAATCGTGCAGAAGTCGGATGTGTGTGTGAGAGAGAGACGGAAGCGTTTATTTCGTTCCTTACGCTGCGTTACGGCTAGGATTTTTCGTTCCGGTGATACGTGCATTTTTACAATGAACCAGGTGGGGGAAACACGAAATTGCGATGTGTATACGATTAATATTACGGTTTAGGCTTCAAAGTCAAGATGAGAGTCGCGCGGTACATCGTTGCCATCGTCGGGTTCGCGCCGCGTACGGTCTTCTCGCTGAGATGTGACTTCAATGCGATCGCCGTTAACGACGGGAATCGTGTGCATCGTTGAGTCGGGAGTGATGCTCGCCTTAAAATTACACACCTAATTTCGCAATGCATTCGCATTCGATCGCCGTGGCGACCAACAACGATCCGTTTCAAGCCACATCCGCCACGTAACGTTTCGCAATCGTCGCAACTGCCGCTCGACGCCGTTTCAGCGACTCCTCGCCCGGGAGCGCCGCCGATTTGTCATCAATTTACATCATAAAGCTCAGCCCTAACTAGTATCACGTCAATTGTAACGTTCTCCGACGAGCAACGCTGCCGTCGTGCCGAAATAGCCACGTACCGATTTGCCTCACCCCTCCTCACCTTCCCGATTTCTTCGAATTTACTCCCATAATTTACACATGCCTTTTCTCTCATTTTATCCTACCCTCCAAATTTCTCGCAATGAAATCTCACTTGAAACCAGCGAGAATCCGCTCGAACTGACACGTGGTGGAAATACCGGCACTCGGAGTCCCACGGATGAACGCTTGGTTCGAACTCAGAGTGAACGTTCCGATCGATTAATGCGAATTTGTCGCAGCGACTCGTGAATCCCGCGCGGAAATGCTCACCCGACGGCTCGGAGTGAACGAATTCACCCCGTGTGAATGAAGAATCGCTCGAATTTCCCGGAGACTCGGCTGGTAGCCGCCCTACCGCTCGAGGAGAAATTTCGAAGGGGAAATTTCGCGAGAATCTGATCACTCGTACAAAACGATGCTTCAAGCCATCGTAGATATCCGCGCGACAGTTGCGGGGTGTCCTCTCCTCGTCAGCCTTGTGTCCTCGTGTGTCCGAGACGCTCCGTGATGAAACGATCCGTGATGCAGTCTTGAATGGGAGAGCTCCTCTCCGGGAGTGTGTCGCGGTTGCAGAACTCACTCCGGCTCATGGTCGCGCTGCGGGCAACGCCCGGTCGACCTGGAGATCGTCTTGCGCTGTTGGTGGAGGTTGTGATGGTGGTGGTGGTGGTGGTTGTAGTGGTGGTTCGCGTTACTCCGTCAGGTGTTGACGGTCTGCCTGACGAACAGGTACTCCGAGAACTGCTGGCCCTCGACGCCGCCGCCGTTGCTCGCGACCACCCGGAAGCCGGCGTTCAGCAGCCTGGTGATCGCCTGCACCAAGTTCAGCTTACAGTAGCCGTTGAGCGGGAAGCGGATGACGTGGCGGGCGTCTTGCTGGTGCCAGGCGACCCCGGAGCGCGCGTCGATCACCGCCTGCGTCGTCTCCGGGAACACCTCGTCCAGGAGGGCGCGCCCGCCCGACAGCATCACCCGTTCGCCCAGGTCCGGGCTCACGTGCAGCGCCACGCACTCGTAGCTGCAGTTGCCGTCGTTGCCGCGCATCTTCTCCGGGTCGCGGTTGCACGGCGCGGTGGTGCACGCGGTAGTGCCTCCGCGGCCAACGTGTTGCCCGGCCGGAGGCGGGCTCGGCGACGACGACGACATCGTCGTCGTCGAGCCGTTCTTGATGCGCTCCTTCTTCATCTGCTCCAGCTGCCGGCACATCGCTGGAAGAAGGAAATGAGAAGAAAGTGGAGATAAAGAGTTCTTCGATTCGACTCTCCCGACGTGGACGAACTGAGAGGAAGTATATCTAAAGAATAACGGATATTTGTCCCGCGGGTACTGGTTCTTTTATTTAAATAGAACAAACAATTGCTTACATCAAGAGAAGTTCCATGTATATACATATATGTGTGTGTAGATATATATGTAACTTCATAACGATTATAATTTTTTTTTTTTGAGATAATTGGATATTTCCGATATTTTCTTTTCTTCGTACATCGTATCAAACTGAATCTTATATATTATTCTAGAAGATTAATGTTTTCTCGTAAATAAAAGTCACGACCAAAATCAGTACAACATGCTGAAAAAACATTAATAATATAGTGAAAAATAATTATTATTATTATTATTGCAGTTATCATCGATTCAGAAAAACTGTATTTCCTGTTATATTGTCTTGTCTTAGTAATTTCGATATTATAATTTTGAAAACAATCGTATGCTTTGTCATATTTCGAGAAAATTGCATTTTGCGCGGTTATCTCTCGAAATACAATTTTAATAATTATTCGATCATTTTCCGAATCACGAAATTTGGATTTTTCAGGTCAACGCACGTCCATGCACCGTTCCACGAGACTCCATTTCGTCGTAGGCGAGCTCGTGGACAGCCGTTTCTTCCGTTGTTTGGCGAACAGCTATTTCACAGCTACTCGTTCTTACTGTTCTATTACGGCCAATGTGGAAGTCGGTCGAGAGTAAATGAGCAGCGAGATGATATATCGCGCGTAATTTATCGACTCTTTCCTTCTCTCTCTCTCATTCTCGCTCTCGCTCTTTCTCTTTCTCTCCCTCTTTCTCCTTGTTCCGGCGATCTCTCGTCAACCGCAGAAATCACGGATGCTCTGAGGTTTCGCGACGATGGAAAACCGAGATTTTTTCACCCCTCGCTGCGGATTGCAATCGTAACGCGATTCAGGCGGAACGTAATATTCGATCGAAAGGACAAAACTACTTCGAAGTGACTCCAACTCTTTTTTGACTAGCACCGCGCGCAAAGTTCTCTTAGGGGAACTCGAAATTAAACGCGGAAAGGGTAAAAGTGCGGCTGCGACTTACGCGCTATGTCGAAGTATCGCGCCTCTTCCAGCAGCAGATCCAGGTCGGCGAAGTTGTCGGGTATCAGCAGCCGGGAATTCCGCATGAAGTTCAATATATGCCGAAACATACCGCCGTCTCGGTCGATGAAGTAATGCTGCTTCAGCGAGTCCAGAACGATGGGGATGCTGCCGTTGAACAATTTCGCTAGTCTGGATTCCGGATACCTGGTGAACGAGAAGCACGATACGTATTGATGTAGGATTACCGTGTGTGAAAGTCGTTGAAACCAGTTTTTGACACATCAAAGGCCATAATTATTTCACGAATATTTTCAATTAAAATTCAATCTATTTATCTCCCGGAGATCCAGATTATTATCAGAACTCTTCTTATTAAAAGCACAGATGATTGACGTGTAACTGAAAATTAGATGTTGCGAATATTAAGATAAAATTATGTATTAATCTAGTGGTATTTTATTTAATTAAAAAGGCGCTCTCTCCATAAGTGGAACATCGGCCGCTAATGGGTCAGCGTAATAATTAGTGAGGATTAATCACCGCCGACGAGACACCTTCCACGAGGTCAACATGTGCAAAAATCGTCGCATTTCACCCATTAAGAGCCATCATTATTTCCCAAACATTTTTCAAGAATCAATCTATTTATCTCCTAAGTTAGTATTATCTCCTCAGATTAGTATTATAACTATTCTCATTAAAGTATTTGTATCGCAGATTACCGGATATTCAGTGACGATATTAAGGGGTCTTTACATAAGTTTATTATTTAATAAAAAACATACTTTCCTATAATTTTATTTAGTTTTATTCAGTAAAACAGAAACAGAAATGTCTCGTAAATAAAACACCGGTTGCTAACAGGTCGACGTAAAAATTTGCGAGCATTTTATTTAGTTTTATTCAGTAAAACAGAAACAGAAATGTCTCATAAATAAAACATCAGTTGCTAATAGGTCGACGTAAAACTTTGCGAGCATTAATCATCGCCGAGACCGGAAACGTGTGATTATGCCTGAGCGTGATTGAAAGAAAGGAAAAAAATCCGAGGAAACATTGTCGCGCTTGATTTACGCGCGGGTCAGCCCGCGGAAGCCCCCGCACGTGTGTTCGACATTATTTACGCGGAGACGAAACGCGCAGAATTGATCGATACTTGGTAGCATCGGAGGTAGTATCGGCGTGCCAATGCCGCGTCATGGATTTGCGTCGGATGTTCGGCGTAACGACATGGAAATTGCGCTTTCTATCCGATCGACAGTTAACCGAGTGTGGGCAGGTGCTGATATCTTGGTCACCTGCCGAAATCGCTTCAGGTAGCCGCGTATGGTTCGCTCTCGGCGAATGACGGCGGCGCAACGGGAGCAGCTGTTCCGCGATGAAACTCTGCGACCCGTTGCGCTTGGTCGTTTTCGATAAGTGCCGCTGATTAGTGTCGGTTATCAAACGGCAAATTCGATTGGATATATTATAATACACATCAATGTTCACTAAGTGGGTATTCAAAATCCGTTTTTATATTTAAGATCGTTTTAAGTTCATCTTCAGGTACTGTACGGATCGTTAGTGACTACGGGACATCTGAAGATGAACTTGAGACGATCTTAATCTTATGGCGATCTTGGCACTCATGGATCAAATTGACCCACGTAGAAAATTAAGATTCTATAATGGTTAAATCTTGAATTATTGCATATATAAACGTGCGAGTATAATTCTTTTCTTCAAACATGCAAATTTCTTACTTCTCTCTGTATAGATTCAATTTATTATCTTCTATTAAATTATCTTATATTAACTATTTTTTTTTCTTTAATTTAATATAATTAAATTTATTTTATATATTTTAAAATTAAATTATTTATCTTTAAATAATGATTATGACAAATCTTTTAAATTTACATTTTGCGTGCTCAAAATCATAGTAAACATATTTTTAGATATTAAGTAAGAGCATATCAGAAAAGTTTTTAGATCTCCCAAAACCAGTCTGCCAAACTAAGTAGCGAAAGGTAAATGTAACGACGAAGGATTATATTTAAGAACGGGCTATGATACCAGCCTTGATATATAACCTGATCGAATTTGCCAAAAGATATCAATCAGGATATCACTTGTATCCCAGTTGGATTTTCCACGATGTTCTCTCCTCAACTCTTTGTCCGAGTTGGACCAAGGGCGATCTCTTGGGAAGAGAGAGAGAGAGAGAGACCCGTGGGAGATTATCCGGCGTGTTAACGACGTGAGAGATCCGCTTGCGACTTCGCGAGCGGATCGCGCGTCCGGAATCGAGCTCGATCGGCTTCGTGCGCGCGTTTGCCCGCGTGTGCTCCCGGACGTGCCGAGAGCGATGTCGTGTTCTGCGTGTGCAGCCGAAGGTCGTCGTAATTTAGCATATAATAGACGAATGCTCTGGGAAAAGGAGACGGGGTGAAAGAAGGGCTGGAGATGAGGAAGAGCAGGAGGAGGTGGAGAGGACGCAATAGGGAAGAGGATGGATGGAAGGTGCGGGTGACTTTGAAGACTCGCGAAGCGACGAGAGCGAGAGCGAGAACAAGTTCGAGAGAGTGCGAGAAAGCAAGAGAGAGAGAGAGAGAGAGCAGGCTCTCCTCTCCGTGTATCCCAACGGTGCGTTATGGCACAACGAGGGAGAAATACCGAGGTAGGTACCCGGTGCCCCCTCGGGCCGGTTCCCATACCTTCCACGGCGATAACATATAATAACGACGGCCTCATGGAGCCTGTGGGCGATCTGACTTTAGCGAGGAAGAGAGAAGAGAAGACACCGCGGGGTAGATACGAAGGTGTATACATATATATAGATATACATATGTACACATATAGATACACATAGAGAGAGAGAGAGAGAGAGAGAAAAAGAGAAGGAGAAAGCTCTCTTTCTCTCTTTCTTTCCGTTTTCCTTCTTCTTTTTCATCTTTCGTCGCCCCCCTTTCTCTCTCTCTCTCTCTCTCTCTCCCGCGCGCGCGCGTTCGTTCACTCGTTTATTCTCCCCTTCAGAGTCTCGCTTTCTCCTTCCGTTTATCGACTTTCCGCTGCTATACCTGGCCTCTAAAAGAATGACAAAAGAGTCCCGGCGCAGTCGGAACTGGAAAATGAAAATCGCTGGATTTCGCCCGCGAGCTCGCTCGTGCGCGCGAAATTTTATGCGCGATTGTAAGCAAATTTCTACGGGATATCGAGCGCGAGTTATCGCGATTTCGAGAACGCGCCGTTGTTTGAATGAATAAGAGAGTTCTCTCTCTCTCTCTCTTCTCTTTCTCGCTCGCTCGTTCTTCTCTTCCTTACGGTCGCCGACGTCGGCCGCCGCCGCGTTAAAATTCACACTGTAATTTCGACCAGCACACGGACGCGAAAATGGTATACTTTCTATTTAAATTAATATCGCGTCATGTTTCCGTTTCAGCGGAGAATGCACGACCGGCGAATTAATTGCGCGTGATACGGTCCTCTCAGTCACGACGGTCTCTCTCATCCGGGAGACACGACTTCCGAACTTTCTTCGTGTACGACCGGAGCTGCGATGACGAGAGATATTCTCCATGGAAGGCGAAGGAAATCGAATGCGATTTCCCTCGGCGGGACCAAAGGGTTTCCCGAAATTCTCCAAACTCTCCTCCGTGCGGCTCCACGAAGGAGGTGGCGCGGCGAGGGCAATCCTACAAGTGGAAACGGTGAGAGGACAGCGAGGAGCACGCGACTCGCGCGCGTTACAGGAATACGGAAAATAAGAGAGAAAGCGCGAAAGTGAGATCCGTGGAGGAGAAGCGAGGAGGAGAGACGAGCGCCCGCCTCGCAGGCCAAGGGCCAGCGATGTTTGCGGAGGTCGAGGCGAGCCGAGAGGGGTGATAGCGGGGGAGGAAACGGTACCAGGGGCGGAGGACGAGCACCGTGATTACCGGCGGCGATTTCTTGGGCCCACCGACCAACCGAGAGGTCCGATCCCGGGTCAGATCCGCTCGCTATGGGAAAACGCTAAACGATCGGCTCACATCACTCAGATTCCGCTCTGCTTTCGATATATACAGGATGCGTCGCGTATCTCACACCGGCCACACGGGTCCCTCATTGCGATCGCGGGCTCGACTCTCACGCGAAGTTTAATTAGGAAGATACGTGCGAATCGAGCATCTGCATGATCGAATTCAAATCGGATTTCTCGGGATTTACATTACCTGCTAATCTGAATATAATGAAATACTTTCGATGATATTAATAAGTTTTTATTTAAATTAAGCGAAAAAATTAATCACTGCATAGCTTCGAGAAAATGTCTAAGCAACTATAAGGAATATTAAGTGTTAGAAAATTTAATAAACGTCAGACAAAAATATGTGCAGAGTTTACAAGCTGATATATACATATGTAGATGTATGTAGTCATATTTTATAAACTGATAAGTATGTACACGGCGTATCTAAAAAATGTGGAATTATTTCTAATTTTTTATAAGCTATATTTTAATAGCGTTTTCAAGCTGCATGTCTATCTTATAAAGTATTTGTATTTCATTTACGAACATATCGTATGAATTACAGAGGTTGACGTAACAATTCGAAATCGAACCGCCGATGATTCGAAATTATTCGAGTTCGAACCTTTTCGAAAACGGATTTACAGTTGATTCGATTCGAACGACTCGCACATCTCTAGAAGACACGTTTAAAGAAAAGCGGGATAGCAAACTAGGACATATTGTCTCTTATATTGAGTCCCATAAATAAAGCGGTTTTTTACGCAAATTTAAGCAGAAAAAAACATAAGATTAACGTCATGTCGTACTGAGCAAAAATGTTTAATATATTTATAATTGTAATCACATAAATAAAAAAAAGAATTATAGGAAGGAGAACTATTCTTTTATAGTAAATATTATTATTAAAGATAATCAGTAATAATAATCTTGCGTGCATATTGTTACTGCTATATTATTTTAATAATATTTTAATAATATTTTAGATTAAAACCAAGAAGAAGATATAGTTGTGGCCGAAAATGATTATAACTTTGGTGAGATTTTCTTTATTAAAATTAAATGTACTCCGCATCGATATTTATATAGTTTCCTCACCTTCATCGCAGCGGTTATAGACTCGTGTAATTTTTAATTGCTGGAAGCCTCGCATTATTTAACACAGCAATTCAGCATTATGGAACAAAGCAATATATCAGACGGATTCGACAGA